TTACTAAAAAACAACATAGCGGGGATTGCCAGACTGCAGAAATCCCTAAAACGGAGATGAGAACAACATGAAGCTGCTCAGACAGCTGAGTGTATCTGATTACATTTTCCAGCATGACACTGGAGTCCTGAGTTCCCCTTTGCTGGCTGCCAAACCAGCCTACGTATTTGTGGGGAGGCATGCTGCACACAGGCCCGGTGACAGAACAAAACCAATTTGCTGCTGTAGCGGGATCACAGTGTGACAAGAACCCAGAATGTTCTTTTGGCTTCCAACATGCAGCAAGTGAGCAGAAGCTGCAATAAGCAAATCTTGAAAATGACATTGGTTTTCCCAAGGGCCTATTCATTCATTTCATACATACACATACTCTGCCATCAGCTTGTAAAATACAACCAATAGTTCACTAAAAACACCCATGTAAGCTACAAAGCTTACACGTTATGGTTATGTTGCTTCTTGTAGTAATCTCCCTAGAAAAACTTCTTTGCCTTGTCACGTTAATAAGCACTGTCAATTTCCATGAGAGTGTCAAAGACCCCTGTTCCACTAAAACAAACAAAACTGACATCAGATGAATACAGAACAGGCCTTGAGTAAAATGAGGCTAAAACCGATGGTGTTTCTGTCTGAGCTTGTGAGTGGAGCTGAAAGAGAGTGGGCTTGGTCGGTAACAGAATTAGAGTGGGAGAGTAGATAAGACCAGGGAGAGGTCATTGATGAGGATTTCTACAGGCCGTCGCTAACGAGGGTGAGGATCAGACCACATTGCCTCAACTACAAGTTCCAGTCCAGAGCTGCTTACGGTAAGTCTGGCTGGAAGGGCCTCAATCCTATTCAACCCAGAGGGACTTTGCCTGAAGGAAAAGCTCAAAGGGGAATAGACCTGCTCAGAGGAAGGTCACACCTGGGCATTAGAGGATGCGAGTTGCAAATCAAACAGACCTCAGGCATGTCGACGAACAGCCACGCAAGACTGAAAATAGCACAGCGCAAAAAAAAAAAATTCCTCGATGTGGGTATGTTAGTACAGAGGACGACGAAGAGGGTGAAATTTGTTCCAGGCGAGTGCAGGTTAAATAACACATTCGTGAGTTTGAAGGCTTATCAGACACCAAAACACTGGTCAGCTGAGGGGATAGTACAACTGTAGAACGTCATCACTTTGCAGGATGTTGTCGCAGTGAAGTTTAACCAAGTTTAACTCAAGGACGCCCCGTTGTGCCAATTCAGTGGTCTCGATGCCAAGAATGAGGAAGTGGTGTTTTGCGAGCGCTGTTGTCGCTCTGAATGCAGCGAAGATACATCAAACTAAATGCTTCTCGGATCCTCACCTTTTGTCTGACTTTGTTCAAATAAGTACACCACCATGGATTTCTCCAAGGAGAGAGGGCCTCAGAGTGTAACCATTGGCATGATTAGCGCATCTTGTGCTGTATGTTGGCAGTCCTTTTTCGAATGTAGCCATCTGGAACTGCTATAAACTACTTTTTGTTTAAATGTGCTTGGAAGACGCTTAGTAAAACCTGTATACTCTTATTTCATTGGGGCTCTGACGGATTAGAAATACCAAAAGCGCTCTTGAACCCGAAGAGCCAATAACAAGGCGCTGGTAACCTTGATTCTTGCCAGGGAATGTCTATAATATCTAGAATCACACATATGTACACACATAACAAATGCTGGATGTTAAGATCTAAGGCAGTGTCTTGTCTTACACATGCTTTCAAAACTACTACTGATATTTCTTTCACTGCTCTTTGGCCAGTGGTAATGCAGAGAGAAATAGGTCAGTGGAGCTACATTCTTGCTGCTAAACACACAATACGTCTCTTTATGGACCCACGACAGTCACTAAATGATGAACGCTTGAGACCGTGCCTTTGAGAACAGAACCTGAAAGTCCGGTTGGGGGAGCAGAGATGGGAAAACTCTGTCATTCCAGGCTGTGAATGCAACCAGTCAAAAGCTGATTACAGGTCTCAGGTTCCTGGAGACAAACCTATCCGAGTGCAGCAGCATTGTTGAACAGACGCTAACTACGGAAAAAAAACAACGTCAGGGAAAGTTCCCTTAAGGCTTACTTAAAGCAACACAAACACTTGTTTGGGAATGGGCAGTTCAGACAGTTTGGTTATTAAGACATTCCTGCATTGTGTGTGAGAGATAAGGGTATCTTAAATGCATTGTGCCCTCTGATTACATAAGGAAGTTTGAAGATGAATTACAAGCACTGAAAGATTCACCACACCTTTGGAGAAGAGAAAAAAAAACCACATACCTAATTTTAAGTGTAATGAAAACTCTGCAGACAGAGTAAGTGAGATCCACATCCTCCTATTACACAGAGTGTCGAGTGAACTCTGCAGAGAATAAAAAGAAACAAAGATGGAACTTCATCGATATGTTCGGAAAACCCCGGGAAAAGGTTTTAAATGTACTTCTCTGATTTTCTAAATGAAAAGTTATTTGCTACTATTGTTTGATCGGGGTTTGTATGCAGATTTTGATTACATCTCTTGCAACCCATCTCTTGCCTATGAAGTGACTTATTTTTCAGTCTAAGACTAAAAAAAAAAATATCCTCAACTTTTTGTTTTCAATTTGCTTTACCGAGTCAACACAAATAAACAGTGTCGCTTTGAGGCTGTGTCAAACATTACGCGATTGTTAATGGGTTTCTAGTCACACTCAGCAGAATGATAAGGTGGTTCGGAGGGAAGACCTTTGATCCAAAGGCAAATGCCACGTCAATATGGAGACTGGCTTTAAGGGTCAGCAAACTGAGAGGGTTCCATGTAAAAGCCTGGTACACAGAGCACCGGTAAATCAGTGTGTTAGGAACCGAACCGCAGAATGGAGCGTCTGTCTTCAGATCACCTTCAAAGTCACTTTAGGATACATGTCAGCAAAGATGCAATTTTCCAATGATTACTAAAAACCAATGAAGTGACTTTAACCATGCGCATTTTAAAACATAAACAAACCTTCAACTAGGGATGCACTGATCCGACTTTTTCAGTCCCGATATAACTGGGCTTTGGGTATCGGTCTGATACGAATGCCGATCCAATACCAGTGTTTAATCGATAAGCTGTATGCCTCACTATGTGGAAGCGACTTTTAATGCGTTAACCCAAGCTCAGACTACAGGTAAAATCGGTCGATTTTGAAGTTGGTTTGCATCACATACATGTAAGGAAAATCTTCACAGATGTTCCTCTCTCTAAACTCAACCAAGCACACACTATAAGATTTGAAAATATCGGCGCAACACACACTATGGGATATTATTAAGGTTAACATGATGATGTCTCTCTCACGCGATCTCATGGTTAAGAAGATGTAAGCAAAAAGGGGACAGACGTGGCGCTAAAACTTGCTGTATGTAAGGCTTTGCAGTGAGAGAAAAACAAAAGCAGAAGGCCAAACGAGTCTGGATGAGAAAATGGTTGGGAGACGCCGTCAACACTGGTGCATCCCTACCTTCAGCCACCACATGCAGTCAGTCCTAATGTCATATTATAATAAAAGCAACGACAGAAAAACCAAAACATGATTTAAGCAAAGTGAGATGTTGGTTTTTGATGCACCGTCAAGATTTTTTACTTTGGAATCCCTTTGAACATTTATGTTACCCTATTTTATGTCTTTTAACCTCAAACAAATAAGTGGTAAAAGAGTAAACTTGCTACTTGTGGGGGAGAAAAAAAGGAGAACTGAACAGGTAGAGCAGGATTTGGCTCACATTTCCCTTTCACAGAACAATAGTGTTAAAAAAATACAGACTGCGAGCCTGTCTACTTTCTATTGCAGCTGTTGAGCGGCAGAATGTTGCACATTGTTCACACAATCACTCAAACTAAGTGTTCTAAATATGAGGATGTGTTTCTGCCTGTGCAGAGGGCCAAACTTCCATCGCACGCTGAACAACTTGAGTTTTGAGAGGCAATCATTAGTGAATAATTATGTGACACTTCTGTTAGCTATGAATGATCACACACAGGGAGGGAAGGAGAGAGGGGGGGGGGGGGGGGGGGG